CACCGAGTCCGGAACGCGAACTGTGGTCGACTACATGGGAGTCCAGCGACATGGCCATTACGCTAACTGCTGGTTCCCCCTGGTGTGATTTTTAAGATGCTGATTCAAGGACTCTAACTATGGTCGGCCTTGTGGGAGTCCAGTGCCTTAACCACCACACCACCTGCTGACCTCTCTTTTTTTTTTTTTTTTCAAGTTTTTGCTAGAAGGTGCATGAGTTCATGCGAGAGAGAGAGAGAGAGAGAGAGAGAAAGTGAGAGAGCACCCTTCTCCATTTCTCTCTCCTTTGAGGACTTTGGGCACACATATACATAAGCCGGCGTGTTTCTCAAGCCCCACTTCAGTATTTGAACCCACTGTGGGCTTTGTGGGATCCAGTCACCTTAACTACCAGGTTATGGGCTGGGCCCAGATACAACGTGTTTATAAAACAAACCAAGTTTCATAAGTATTACACAAAAAAATTAAAAAAGAGTTAAATTATGTTTGGGGAGCTGGTCCCAGAGGGGTGAGTATAGAGCTACCTTTGACTTTATATCCAAGTGTTGAAATTAAATTTGTATGAGTATCTCTTACTTTGACACGAGGTCCCAAACCTCCCAACTACAGGCAACTGTCAAATAAGGTTGGGCAACAGTCTTCTAGAAAAGCTATGGGGATGTGAGAGTTGACTCCTTGGATTCCTTTCCACTCTAAAATATTTGGAATTTATTCTTAGATCTGGTATAAGAGTTATAAACCCCCTAAAGTGAGCAAGGAGTTTGCCCATGCACTAGCCAGAGAGAGACATAGAGAGAAAGTGAGAAATCACCCTCCAGGGGGATGGCCATGTCACAGTCCCTTTTCCTCCATTCTCTCTGCTATTTTGGGCATGCACACACATGTACCCAATATGATTTTTAAGCTGCCAGGTCCAGGACTCAAACCATGGTCAGCCATGTAAGAGTGCCTTAATCACTATGCCACTTGCTCACCCCTGCCATTTCTAAATTTAATTTCAGAATCATTACAATGAAATTTTTGAAACTCCAGTGTACTACCAGTACTTTCTAATGAACTCAGACATTTATGTATGCTACTTATTATTTTCTAAGAATAATTTGGTTTCTGAGTGACTAGCAGCCTCTTTCAAGTATATTTTCTTAAGTAACTTTAAGTGTCCACTTTTTCTTGCAGAAGAGTACAACACAGTCCACATCTAGGACAACATTCAAGAAAGCACAGTTGTCTTAAAGAGGCTACGTTTTCCATCTTCACCAGCATTACTTGAACTAATTTTACCTGTAAACAACACTAAGTCTAGTGGAGCTAGATCTGAAACAAATGCAACTAACTGCAAACAAGGCCTGGGTTCCATAAGGAAACGTTAAAGTGAAGAGTAGTGGCAGATTTCCTGTGCAGTTAATGAAGGTCATGCTTCAGGGACTTCCACCTGCACAAGACCCTGCCAAGGTCCTGTTAGGACCTTACCAATCTGTTCACGTTTTTGTGAATTTGCAAAAGTGAGGTATTTTGACCACGGTTGGCAAAAGCACGGTTTCCACTGTGACGCTCCCTCCTTTGCACTTGTTGGTAAGTGGTAGCAGAGGGGCAGTGGACATTTGGGGGACTTGGTTAAGGAGAAATAGAGTTACAGATAGCTTTCATTGAAGTTTAGTGGGATATGTTTTTGTGTTTTGCAGCAACACTGTGCATAGTTCATTATTTCTAGCCTTGCAGGTATGCGAATGGCTTTAGGAATGGCCTACAGCTCACTGCCAATTTTCCTCCTGAGGGAACAGGAAGGTTTAGGCTAGAGGTGAATCACACCGTAAGAATAATGGGTCCTATGGACTCTGACCTAGGTAACATTGAATCCTGTAGAGGCAGTAAGTTTGAAATGTCCAGAATCAAAGGTGTTCTGTGGAAAATGCTCCCATCCTCCATCTTACGTATAAAATTAGATAGGCGTTTTCTCAAATTTAGCAATAATCTCTAAAACTTTAGACAACATTATCAATCACATAAAGCTGAGAGAAACTTTCCTAATTCATTGATAAAACCACTGTTTTGATAATAACACACTAGAGGAAAGGCAGAGTTATTTTTCTATTCGTTCTATCGAAAACATTATTTGATTATTGTTATCCGAAGGGGTAACCAAAGAGCACACAGCCACAGAGCATGAGGGGAAAAGTATCATGTTACAGAGGCGTGCTGGGAAGTTCAAGAACTGTTAGTTTTCTAGACTTTGTGATATTTATGGCATTTCTTAGTTTTTAAGCCTGAGATTGATTCTTTTCCTCATTGTAAGTAAATATTTCAGATCTAATTGTGGTCTCCATTGTTGTTGTTTCTTAAAGAGGGCTGCACACATTGCAGTTTCAGCCTCCTAAAAATGCAGATCATCACGGGAGCTTTTTCATGTTTGGAAATACGAGAAAGCTTTTACTTTTGGTAAAAGATTCTTAACCCAGTCAAATGGGATCATGGTTTATTAAGTCTGGAATCTGACCTCCGCAATGGAATCGGTAGCTCTGGGGTGTCAGAACCAACAGTGAGAGACATACAGATTCATCACCTCTCATCCTGCAGGGAGGAAACCTGGGGCGAACCTGGCACCTACGATTGATTTCTGTTCCAGAAAAGAAATCTTCCACAAAGAAGTTCTACTCAAATGACCTCGTGGAGCTTTTACTTCATTTAAAACAGGAATACTGGGAGGCTTTTCAGAGAAGTCTGAAACACTGGATTTGGGATGTCTAAGCTCAATTCACCTCGTTTTTTACTTTCCTACTATAAAGAAAACGTTAAGATGAGGTTGACATGGTGGGTGACAAGGACAGTACTCTCCCCTTGCCATCTCTTCCCGTACTCTGTCAGTGACGGAGTGGTAAGTGGGACTGACGGATGTTACAGGAGATCCTGTGGTTGATGGGGACAGGGACCCCTGACGTGATCTCCTGAGAGCAGATGGGATTCATCATCATTTGTAGGCAAGTTGTGCTGACGTCACTGACTGGGTTCCCTGAAGAAAAGGAGTCTCCAAGCATATATCTCTGCTTAACCCAGTTATTAGTAATCCTGCTTGCTTGCTCTTTGGGGTATGTGTGCCCCCATTAAAAGAGTCATCAGTTCTTTCATATCCCAAATAAAGCAAAAGAAAATAGTAATTGTATTTACTGTGGGCCCACAATTTGTCTCAAAGGGAAGTGATAAAAGTCTGAACATTCTCTCTGTTTGCTTGACTGGCCAGCCCAATAGTGCAATGTCATGGGTTACAGGGAAACCACATATGTCCCTTCTGAGCTCCCAATTCTGAAAGAGTCTGGGATTGGATACTATTCAAGTGTTTTTATTTTTTTTTTTTTTTTTTTTTTTTTTTTTTTGGTCGGCGAGTCGGCGAAGAAGGTTTTGCTATAGGGCGCGTGTGCTTGCCAGAAAGACAAGAGACAGAAAGCGAGAAATCACTGCCCGGGGGGATAGCCACGCCGCAATTCCTTCTCTTCCATTCTCCTATTGGGATCGTGGGCACGTATGCACATGCACCTGGTGAGTTTAAGCCACCGGGTACAGGACCCGAACTGTGTCGACTACATGGGAGTCCAGCAACATAGCCATTATGTCAACTGCTGGTCCCTGATTCACGTGATTAAAACTCCTTCCTTCAAGCTGGAATCAGAGTAGGTAAACACTGGCCATTTCTTAGCATCACATTGATAGAGAATGAAAGATATATGGAGGCCTTTAAGCAGACTCTGGCGCCTGATGTCCTGGCGTTTCTGTTTCCGTGTGATCACAGGAACTAGAGTATGATCCGCCCCCGGGAGGTGCACAATCCCTAATTTCAGCAGTTCCAACAACAATGGGGCACTGTCTGAATTATCAAATAATTCTTTTATTTGGCTGTCTAGGGCTTTACAGAAGTTAGTAAAAAGAGTCTGTAATCTAGAATAATGATGCATTCCACAGAGAAAATGTCCAGGGGATTATGGCTGTAAGATGAAGCAGGACAACCGCAGGTTTGACCCCAGCTAGTTTAAACAAAGACATTTCCTAGAGAATATCCTTGGTGTTGTGAACTGTGTGAGCTCTCACTTGTCTTTACTTTTTTTTCCTCTCATTTTTGGTAGAATGATCTTGACGACTATACTAAGGAATAACTGTATCATAGCAACACAGGCACAGGCAGTGGGGGTGGTTTAGAAAGCACACAGATGCATTTTTGATGCTGATTTGACGTTAGCCCTGCATGTGGGTATTAGGACAGAAGCTACACTTCAGAGATAGATGGGTCTGTTTCCTCTAGTTCTACCCCAAACTCATTATCAACTAATTAAAAGAAAGTTAAGAGTTGGTGACTTTTCTTGATGTCTAGACCTTTCTATTTCAATAGATACCCTAGGGTCTAGGCTGAAATGTTTTTCCTGGGAAGAATTTCTGCCTTGGGTCTCCTGCCCTAGACACATCCTTACCCAGACCTCTCTGAACCCAGAATTCAGAACTCACTCTCTTGTGATAAGACCTTAAATTGCACTTGCTTTCATTTGTCATCAGCATATTTTATGACTTCTTTGATGTAGTGTCAGATTCTGCTTTTCTATATGGCTGGTAAAGGCAAATGGCCTTTTGTTTCGTTTTGTTTTTGCTATAGGGCATGTGCACTCAATGGAGAGACAGAGACAGAAAAAGTGGGAAATCACCTCCCAAGAGGGGGTGGCCATGCCGTAATCTCTTCTCCATTCTCTTCTTGGGATTTTGAGTGTGCAGGCACCCAAGCCCAGCGTGTTTCTCACTGCAAACTCAGCCACAAGGAGTCCACCCACCTTAACCACCATGCCACTGGCTGGCCTGCATATGACCTTTTATCTTCCCCTAAAGATGGACCAAAGCTGATAGTTTGTGGAACTTCTCCCACTCAGTTGTATCTCTCCCACTTTAATGATAGTCTTCGCCGTGGGACTTGGTGCTTGATGAAGGCTGTAAAGGGATACCCACCGCCTCTGCTCATCTCACTGTACCTTTTTCCATGTCGGTCTTGATCTGTTCCTCAAGATCCTCTGGGGACACATAGTAGTCCTCTTCTGGCTTTGATGATCGGGGCCGACAGTGTCCACAGCAGCAATTGCAGCAGCAGCACAGGCAGCAACAGAAATAGCAGCCAGTCAAGAGGCCGATGACGACAAACAGGGTCTGGGGGAGCAGAAGCAGAGCAAAGTAAGGATGAGGGCGAGAGGCCAGGGCTGGGGTAGAGGAAGAACCTCAGAAATCGATTCTGCAACATGAATCACCAGAGACACAAAGGCATCGTGGTGCACTCCACAGACCAGATTCTCCCTTGTCCTTACTCTGTCTACGAACTACCTTTTTAATTTCCTTGGAATCCAGCTTCCTCATAAAATTTTACCTAACAAATTAAACCCAGAGGGAATTACTTATAGCCAAAGTAATAAAGGATGCATTTTTATTTTTACTCTTAAGCTATCATGATCCTTATTAAAAGCAGAGCAAAGCAAAGTAAAAACCAAGTCAACCAACACACAAAATTTCCACAGATCAAACAAGCAAGTCATGCTATTCTGCCCAAGGAAACTGAATTGTTTCCCCCAAGTCCCCAAATCAGAGTGTACTGCTACCTCTTCTTCCAACCCTCATATTCCTTAGTCACCAAGTCCTATAGAGTCTCTCTTCTCAAGATTTCTTGCATTCCACCCCCCACATTGCTACAGGGCACGTGCACTCAATGGAGAGTCTCTATCTCTATCCCGGACAGTAAGGTTTAGAGCATCATCCCTAGAGTGGACACTACAGCAGCCTCCTAATTGAACTCTCTGCCTTCCTTCTTCTTTCCCTTGAAACCACCATATGCTTTGCTGCGGGGGGGTGAACTTTCTGAAGTACCTGGTTTTTTTGTTTGTTTTTTTGAGAGGTTTTCGCTATAGGGTGCGTGCGCTCGCCAGAGAGAGAGAGAGACATAGAGACTGAAAGCGAGAAATCACTCCCCAGGGGGATGGTCATGCCACAATCCCTTCTCCTCCATTCTCCTCTTGGGATCTTGAGCACGCACGCACACGCACCCGGCGTGAGTTCTAAGTCACCAGGTCCGGGACGCGAACCGCGGTAGACTACATGGGAATCCAGCGACATAGCCATTACGCTAACTGCTGGTTCCCCTGAAGCACCTGTTCTCTTCAGTCCACACAGCAACTCCTGTCTCTCCTATAAAGTCTGAGCTCCTTGCTTCGGTGGTCTGGCCTCTGCCAACCCTCCCCTAAACCATCCCAGCCTGTCCTGGCCTGTCTGTGTCTTACAGCTTTGCCCTCTCTGCCTGGAAGTCCCTTCCCCTTCCCTAGGCACTTAACAAATACCACCTGATATGGAAAACACATCTTAACAATCCTTCTACAATGCTTTTCCTGATCCAGCCTCCAAACGATTATTCCTTTGTACCCCAGTTATAACCCATACAAACTTCCATCTTAGTGTTCTTTTGTAAATACTTTAGAGCATTGGTCAGTTTCTAAGTCTGTCTCCCTATACTAGAATATGAGCTTACTGAAGGCCACAACTATGTGTTAGTCATCTTCCAGCCTAGCTGAGGATTTAGTACCTATGTCAGAGAGAAATTGAATAAAATTCGACTTCTGAATTAGTGAATATACGAAGTAACTAATAAACACATTATTTGCTTGCCTAATGAAAAAGTACCAGGATTTTCCACAACATAGAAAAATTCATTCACTAAAAAAAAGGACAGAAAGAAAAAAGGAAAGAAAAGAGACTCTTTTTCACTCCCCAAATTGGAAGTTATAAGAAGCTCATGTTTGTGAATTGAACAAAATCAATTTAGGATTTTAGTAAAAACATACTGTTTGAAATGGAAAGCAGTTCATACATGTTTGATCAGAATGTAGATTTTATCTTAATTAGATAAAACGAAGGGAGCAAGGGCAACAAAGTCTCCCCGTGTGCACACATCCTTCTTTAGGAACTTAAATTAGAAATTTATGTCCACACACCTCCCCTGCCTCATTTCCGCTTCTCAGTTCAGTGCTCCGTCTGCCTACTCTGGCCCCTGCTATGAGGTGGAGCCTTAGGGTGTCTTGGAGGGGGGAAGCTGTAGTCACCCCCTCACACCCATAATTACTTTGGTATGGATACTCTACGTTTTCATAGTGTTAGGTCAGTTACTCTGGAAACAAAACTCCAGCACCCCTTCCTTCTCACTAACTTCCTTCAGAAGCCTCCTCTGCAGAACTCCTCAGTCTTTGCCCCAAGAAGCTTCTTTCTTTACTTACTTTTGCCCTTTTCGTTTTAACTCTGCAATTCCCCATCATTCTCTTTTTGGAGAATTTCTTTTTCATTCCTATACTGTTTTGTCCTTTAATTATTCCACCTGGATTTGTTTACCTGTTGTGGAAAAGAATCTTGCTTTATCCCTGCAGTCCTTTGCACACTGCAAGGCACAAGGAGGTGATCAGTATATTTTCAGAAATGTATTTGTGATGGTGTGTTGACTCATTCAGGATGTGCATGTTTCATACGGGATCGCTACGTATCAGGCCACTCTGAAGGGCACCATGCCATAGGGGTTTGGCACAAGCGGAGGGGAAGGCAGAAGTTAGTTTGTATATTTCTCACACTGCTGGGCAGATTCTGCTTGTCTGTGTGCATTTGGATCAATTTCGTCAACTTCCTGGGCAAGGAAACCTATTCTCATTAGGCCGGCAGTCCCAGTGTGCAATCAGATGCACGTGTGTAATTATCTGGAGTTGCAGATGTGCTTTCTCTTGGAGAAAGTGTCATGTCTGGAGGTTTGGTTCCCATGCAAGCCCATAAAAGCCCAAGTTGTTACATGAACATCCAGCCTAGTGTCACGAATGGCATTGTTAGTGTGTGGGCTTTTGTTC